ATTGAGGTTGATGTATAGATACATAAAGTCAATTTTTATGCTGTCATTCAAACTATCTTGTTTAAACTATTGCTAAACTGTATCATTTAAACAAATTATCTGTAGGTTATTTTGGGTTTTCTGTGAAGATAGTAACCGTTGAGAATAACAGTTTCTCTTTCTTCATTACATTGACTATAGCCTATAATATAGTGTTGAATAGAAACTATAATAGGCATCTTTGTTTTTTCTTGATTTTAAAGGGAATTCCCACTTGTTCCTATTAGGAACGAGCTCTCTCTATGAATATACTTTTCTGATTTGGGATGCTCCCTTCCATAGCAATTTACTGGTAGTTTTTATAGTGCTTGTGTATTAAATTTTATCAAACACTGCTTTCTGCATGTATTATTCTTGTTTATGTACTTCTAAATTTTTTTTAAATTTATTTATTATCAAGGGGCGCCTGGGTGGCTCAGTCGGTTAAGCATCCGACTTCGGCTCAGGTCATGATCTCACGGTCCATGAGTTCGAGCCCCGCGTCGGGCTCTGTGCTGACCGCTCAGAGCCTGGAGCCTGTTTCAGATTCTGTGTCTCCCTCTCTCTCTGCCCCTCCCCCATTCATGCTCTGTCTCTCTCTGTCTCAAAAATAAATAAACGTTAAAAAAAAAAAGAATTTAAAAAAATAAATTTATTTATTATCAAGAGGCAGAAAGACACGGAGTGTGAGCAGGGGAGGGGCAGAGAGAAGGGGGAGGAGACACAGAATCCGAAACAGGCTCCAGGCTCCGTGCTGTCAGCACAGAGCCTGATGCAGGGCTCGGACCCACAAACCTCGAGATCATGACCTGAGCTGAAGTCAGATGCTTCACTGACTGAGCCACCCAGGCACCCCTCCTGTTTATGTATTTTTTAAAAATCTGTCAATATGGCAAATGACATTTAAAGATTTTCTAATGTTAAACTACTCTTGCATTTCTAGAATAATGCAACCCAGTCATAATTTACAATCATTTTTTTATATAATTGTAGATTTGATTTGCTAATATATTCTTTAGGATTTTTGAAGGTAGCTTCATTTATAGGTAAAATGGCCTGCAGTTTTCTTTTCTCAAACTATCTTTCTTTAGTGTTGGTATCATGTTTTCTGGACTCTTAGCGTGAGCTGGGAAGAATCTTCCCCTTTTCTTCTCTGCTAGAATTCTTGTAACTATCTGAATCATCTGGGCTTAAGGTTCTTTTCTGGTGAGAATACTTCTAAACTCTGTTTCAGTTTCCTCATTAATTATAAGACTTCTCAGGATTTCTGTTTTGTTTGTTTTGTTTTGTTTGAGACAGTTTTATTGAATTAATGTTTTTGTTAATAAATTTTCAAATTTTTCAAATTTATCGAATAAGTTGATAATAAAAATTCTGTTCTCGTATTTTTATTTTCTTCACAAGAAGGATTATGTCCCCATTTTTACTTGTACTACTTTTTATGCCCTTTTTTATGGGACTCTAGAGGATTTTCTATTTTTGAGTCTTTTCAAAAACCAGTATTTCAGTTTGTGGCAATCTTTTGTCTTTTTCTGGTTACTTTTAAGATGTTCTTTTGTCTTTACTGATCTAAAGTTTCACTGAAATGTGATTAGGTCTGGATTCATTTCTAAATTTATATTGCTTAAAAATTGCACTATCTTTTCAATCTAAAGACTTATGAATTTCTTCAGTTTTGGAAAACTATCATCTTGATCTCTTTGAATATACCTTCTTCACCATTCCCTGAAATATCTTTTGGAATTCATGTTGGACATATTTTAGAATCTTTTGATTTATTTCCCTTGCTTCCTAACCACTCATATTTTGTATCACTTTATCTTCTTTGTTAGGTTCTTGTTTAGTTCTTCAGTAATGTTGTATTTATGCTGTATAGAATGAGTTACTTCCATCCAGCTTTAAGGATTAATTGATTCTTTAAAAAATTTTTTTAATGCTTATTTATTTTCGAGAAAGAGAGAGAGACAGAGAGTGAGCAGGGGAGGGGCAGAGAGAGGGGGAGACCCAGAATCTGAAGCAGGCTCCAGGCTCTGAGCTATCAGCACAGAGCTTGATGCGGGTCTCGAATTCATGAATTGGTAGATCATGACCTGAGCTGAAGTCAGATGACTAGCCCACTGAGCCACCCAGGCGCCCCAGGATTAATTGATTTTTAATTTTCAGATCATTCTTTTTCATGTCTATCCGTTCTTGTTTTACTTCTTTGTTTCAGATTTCTTGTTCCGATCAACATTGGTTTCATTTCTTCCTCGGAGGATTATATTCTTGTTTTAAAGTCTTCTTTGGACACTGTTCATTTTCATTTTATTTGGAGAGAATCCATGTGCTGACAATCAGTTTTCTAGCTTTTCATACCTTTGGATTTTATATTGCCCATTTCCCTTATATGGTGGTCTCTCCCTTCCACTCAATATTGTGCTTGGGTTTCCTCCACCCTGCACTTTCGAGGCTCCCAATCTCAAGCCAGGGCTGGCCGTGTGGATGCCTTCTAGAGGGTTAGTGTCCTGTTTGGCTCAGGTCATGAGGCTGCATTTTTATACAACTGCCTCTTTAGGCTCGAGTTCTACATGAGCCATAGCCACCATTAGCAGCTTTTCTCAGCCTCGTTTTCATGGTCACGAGCCAGAAATGTCTGGATCTGACGTGTAACCAGGGTCAAGTTGGCTTCCCCTTCCCACAATGACATTTAGTGTGTGGGTCCCACATAAGTATGCACTGATCTTTCAAAGACTCTGTGAGGCCACAAGCTCTTCTTCAGAAAAAGTGGTCCCTTCTGAGCCATGGCTTCAGGATTCCCTTTCTCGGGACCTCTGATTCAGATGTTTAACGTGAAAACAGCACATCCACTGTGCTAGCTGGAGGGGCTACTTTTTAATCTAACTCTGCTTTTTACTGGGTTCGTAGCCCTTGGGAAGGATTTGGTACGTTGCACCTTTGTTTTCTAATCTGGAACCTCGTAGGACAGTTAGGAAAATTAAACCGCGTATCATCCACGAGAGCACTTTATAAAAGTCGTAAAGATGGAAATGTTTAGCTGTATGTCTCACGTATATTGGAAACGTTGGAAACCCATCCAACTCGAAATACCCGTCTGTGAGAGTTGAGTTTGATTTCAGGAAGCCATCCTTTGATATATTCATTCAACCAGTATTTACTAAGCAGCTGCTGCATACCAGGCCCTGAGCTAGGTACACTGAGGCAATAGGGCCCAGTGGGGTTAGATCTCCCATATGCTTTCGTTTTCTTCTGATGGCAAGAGCCCTCGTTGGTCCAAATATACCACTGTAATGTTAAGAACAGGCAGAAACAGATTCTGAGGAAAATGGGGAAGCTTCCACAGAGACCAAAAACTCTTAATCACTTTGACACATCTGCTCTTTACGCTGGTGTTTTCTTGGTTTAAATGATGACATGCCTAGATAACTGGACCAAATCAACGGGTTAGATATTTTAAAACGTTTGTTTTCACAAAAAATACTATTTGGCAAGGCCTGACTTTGTATTTCTGAAAGCAAATGCAAGCTTCTCTCTGTGTTTAGTGTTGATTGTCAGCCTATGCCGTGCTCCTCTCCTGGACTCTATTCTCTTGCAGGAGATAGACCCCTGTAAGGAGGAAGGCGCTGGATCCTAGGTCTTTTCTCCATGGGTCCTTAACTCTGACCTTCACAGGACCACAGTTTGCACAAATAAAAGGAGCTGTAATTCAGGTAGCCCGGCCATCTCGTAGACACGCTGACTAAAGTATAATGTAGAAAAAACAAGACATCAACTGAGCCAGGCATTTTATGGCTTTGATTTAGTGCTTGCATATCATATAGGTAACTCTAAGGGTTGATGCTTAGTGTTACTGTTACCAAGGCTTGGAAAATCCCGCCCACTGATAGTTCAGTCCCTGAACTGAGGAAAGCCATTCTTCCCTTAAGCATTCGACGATATTCTTGTAAGTGTATTATTTTCTTTTCTTTAGGCTTTCCCCTTCCAAATGTGCTTTTTTCCCTCCTTCTTTTCAGCCTTCATCTACCTCTTCCAGACTGTTTCTTACCGAGCAGTGCCTGTTTCCAACTAGGCTGCCTTTCCTTTGGGATGAAGCGGCCATAGGCAAATCTGAGCTGTGCCTGCCTGCTGGGCTTGCTGTGGGGATGGCAACCGGCAAGGACCGGGGGTAGGGTAAAGGCCAAAGGATGTGAGGGAGAATGAGCCTCTAGCTATCCTTGTCAGATGGTTTCTTCTGCCTGGCTGGCTTTGATTTTCCTCACCTCAGCCCCTTTGATGGGTTAGGCCAGGTCTCCTGAGCAGTCTTGACTGACAGCAGCCACTTCGTTCCCACCCTGGGACGCTGTTCTCGTGCTGAGCAGCCAAGGAAGGAAGCAGTTAAGTGAGGGTCCTTATTAGCAGTGTTCTAAGTTTAGCCCTCCAAAGGAAGCCTTTCAGACAGGCCAGCTTCCCCTTTTTGGTATGAAAGATAAATAGGTGTGCAGCAGAAAACACTGGTTTAATGCCCCAGGCTTATAGAATGATGGCATTTACTGAACATTTACTAAGTTGTAATCAATGTTCCAAACATTCTACATCTACTAACTTACTTAATTTTCATGACAATCCCAGGGTCTGGATTCTATGAAGGCCTTCATCTTGTGCATGGGGGAAGCCTAGATGGTAAATCCTTGCCTCAACAGCTAGTAAATGGACACAGACCCAAACAATCAGTTATGTAATATTTAAAACAAATGAAAATAAAAAAAGTCATTGTTTCTGTTGTCGATTGTTTCAACTCATTGGTGCTAGTAGATTATTTCTTGAGAAAGTAGTATTCCCAATATCCCCCTTTTGTATAGAAAATAATCTTCTGAATGAATGAGAGGGTTTGTTAGTGCTAGAAAGAAAGGAAGAAAAAAATTAATGACAAATCTCAACACCCAGAAGTAAATTGCTACCTTCACTGGGGATTCCCAATAATTAACACTTTTTTTCTTCTTTATCAGCAAACCTTGAAGAAAAAATGGGTGGAGTTCAGATCTCTGCAGTTACAGGAACAGCGTCTGCTTCATGGTAAATGTGACTTCCTGTTCAGAAACCACACTAACATTCATCTTTTTTTTTTGTATTTCTGCTTCTACGTTATTTTAAGATTATCATCGTTGTAAGAAAAAAATTGTCTAGCATGGATCAGGAATGCTAGTGTATGTTTTTTGTCATGACTTTTGGAGTGACCTATGTATCTGGAGGGTGAGTAAGTCCAGTCACCTCCTCTCCTCCATACGTGTAACACATCGGCACATGAAAACACGCACATGCTCACATGCATGTGCACAATTGCAAGAGGCACGTGGAGATTTTAGAAGAGCCATAGATGAGTTAAATTCCTGACAATGTTTATGGCTCGGGGGTTGTGTGAGTCTCAGAAACTATGGAAGCTGGAATGGTAGCACGCTTCTTGGGTAGAGCTCCTGTCATTTGTTCATATTATACAAGTTACATGAGTGCAGAGAATCTCTTCTTCTTGGCCCATAAACCCAAGACAGAAATCGGAATGATCATCCCAATAGTCAATGCATGGCTCCCGCAGTTGTGTGAATTCTGAAGGGAATGGGTTGATTGAAAAATTTGTTGATGTGACATTTGCTATGTGACTCCTGTAACCCGAGGAATGAACTTGTACATACAAATAATTCACTGAAACCACTAGGTATGTGGGTGTGAAACATAAGTTATATCTTCTTAAGATAACACTGAGCTAAAGTCTCCAATTATAACTCAGAATGTCTGTTTCAAGTCATAACTTATTTACGGGAAAAAAGACATTTAATTCATAATTAGTCACTAATGTATGACATAGAGGTTTGTGTTGAAATTTTGTTCTCCTAAATGAAATTTATATATAAGTTACTTCTCTTTTGTATGTTTTAAAATTAATATTAAAACAATTCTTAATAGATTCTTTTGGGGGGGGTCTGAAGTGTCCTAGCAGGACAGAGGTATAAAAATCCAGCTACCTCCTGGATTTCTGTAGACTTGAGGGTGTTTAGGAAACCTTTGCCTCCCCTTCTGGAGCATTCTGCGGTGGAGATGGGGTTTGGTCTAATAAGTACAGGCAGTTCTGGGGTTCTATAGGAACAGGCTTGTACGGACAAGGTGTTTCGTTCAGGATTAAGGGAAACGACTCTGCGTAAAGCCACTTTTGTACATGTTCTTTTTGAGAGATTGAAGGACTTCTTTAGTTTACTTTTTCTAGGCCTAGAATAAATACACGAGACATGAGATTCTCAACGGCTTTCCAATCAAAAAGAATTCATCAACTCGTTGACAGATGATGTAAAGTAGGTTTTATTAGTAAAAAGGAAAGCATTATGACTAGTCAGTGCAGAGCTCACATATTGAACCTTGCAGATCAAATAGAAAAATAAAGTCTCTTCTATTTCTTTTCCTGAAGCAGAGTCACCTTCTAATTATGTCATTCTCAGGCTGGTATAACAATTAATCCCCTTTCTTTCAGCAGCGTACCAACCAACTCAGGTAGTACATAAGGAAGTGGGGTATGGACAGGATGGATGTTGGTGTACAATTAAAATTTGAGTTTGGAGAGCCCAGATACAGAGAAAGGTTGATGAACAAATTTAGCTAAGCTGATCAAATTCAACTTGTACAAATGAATTGTTAACTTATTTCAGGACAGGGATGTTTTCTGGGCACAGTAGCATTCCAGAGCATTTAAGTGTTAAAGTAGTCTGGGAAGAAACAAGGAATATTGAGGCTGAAAGGTATTTTTTTCTGTTTTAAACACCTTTTGAATTCTCTATAATCAGCCTATAGGCGCAGGTTATATAACTGTGTTTCCCATATACTTCAACTTATGTTACAGTAATTATATAATTATTTAAAAGATACAGTACCTTGGGGCATCTGGGTGGCTCAGTCGGTTGGGCATCCGACGTCATCTCTGGTCATGATCTCACAGTCCGTGAGTTCGAGCTCCGTGTCAGGCTCTGTGCTGACAGCTCAGAGCCTGGAGCCTGCTTCGGATTCTGTGTATCCCTCTCTCTTTGCCCCTCCCCTGCTCATGCTCTGTCTCTCTCTGTCTCAGAAATAAATAAAAACATTAAAAAAAATAAATAAAAATATGGTAACTAAAAATCAGAGGAACTAAATGGAGGAAGTCCATAAGACAGCATTTCCCCAAGTATATTCTTTATTTTTTTCCCCAAAGATATTCTTTAGAGCCCCATTTCTGTGAGAATTTTAATGAATGTTGCAGAGTCACTTCAGTTTAAGAAATAATACCTTTGGGGGTGCCTGGGTGACTCAGTCGGTTGAGCATCTGACTTCGGCTCAGGTCATGATCTCACAGTTTGTGAGTCAAGCCCCATGTTGGGCTCTGTGCTGACAGCTCAGAGCCTGGAGCCTGCTTTGGATTCTGTCTACCTGTCTCTCTGGCCCTCCCCTGTTTGTGTTCTGTCTCTCCCTCTCCCCAAAATAAAACAAATTAAAACATTAAAACAAAAATAAAACATTAAAAATTTAAAAAAAAGAAATTATATTCTTGGAGATTGACCATTCACCCTGGCATACTGTCAGATGAGTTGAACTGTTCTTATACGAAGAATCTTGTTTAAATTTATTTCATTTAGCATTACCGTTTCTGTGACCATGGAACACTGTTACATGGAAGCTAGTCCACGAACAATAGTTTGGGAAACACCCCTACAAGGTTTATCAAATGGCCTCAAAATAAGTCACTTGTTCATATAGGCGAAACTCAGTGAAAAATATTATTCACTTTTACTCTTTCTTTTTTGCACCCTTTGAAGAGAAGTTTTGTGTATTTACTCGGAGGGAGTGATGCTCATAGGCATTCCACAGTAGACTCTCTTTTCTGCATTCTAGGTGACTCAGGTAACTGCTCGAGTTTGGAGAACATGGACATAGATGAATCAGTTTTGTTTGGAACCCTGCCTGGGCCCAGCCCTGCCCTCCTGGACCGGAATCGATTATCCAGCGAGAGTAGCTGTCTGAGCTCCATGACGATGGACAGCGAAGATGGCTACCAGACGTGTGTGTCTGAGGACTCAAGCAGGGGAGCCTTCAGTCGACAGACGAGCACAGATGATGAGTGCTTTGTCCCCAGGGATGGGGACGATTTTCTGAAGAGGTCTTCTTCGAGGAGGAACCGAAGCATTAGTACTGCCAGTAGTGGGTCCATGTCCCCCTTGTGGGAGGGCAACTTGTCAAACATATTTGGGACCCTGCCCCGGAAAAGCAGAAGGGGAAGTGTCCGGAAACAACTCTTAAAATTCATCCCCGGCCTTCACCGTGCAGTGGAAGAGGAAGAGAGTCGCTTCTGATGGGCTGTCTTGCCCTTTTGTATTAGCTTATTTCGTAAATATCTCTAGACTTGTTTAGAACAACTCCACCCGGCCTGGTGGGAAACTGTGGAGGGATTGCAAAACTGAAACCCCATTTCATGGCAATAGTGACCTTTATTTAAATTTTTGTGTCATGATTTTTGCTTCTTAAGTTGTTTTGTAGCCGGGAAAGCTCTGTTTATAACCAGAAGGTAGGGGAATTAAGTCATAAGTTAGATACTATAACAAATTAATGCACATTCCTGCTCATTTTAATGCTGCCTGTGAAGGCAAGGGTTATATTTATTTTCTGGATTATCTATGTGAAAAACTGACAACTTTTCAGAGTCAAGTGTAAATAAAAGAGTGACGAAATATAATTATTTGGGATACCTTCCGTAGGTTCATTGGTAGGTCACGGAACCATATGTTTGCTTAAGATCAGGAGCCTCCAGGGAGGCTTAATAATAGGCAATTTTGAACGTTTTCTGCTTAAATCTGTGAAGGATTATAAATAAAGATGATAGTCAGCTATGTTTCACAAACACAGCAACAATAAAGCAGGAGGCATATAAGTTAATATTAGGGTTTAGATCCATGAGATCCATGGAAACATGTTGTCTAATAGGGGTGCTGAGGAAGATTATGATACGGCCTTTTTTATAGTCAGCCTAAACAAAATAGGTGAGAATGTCACTTACGCAATTCAACTTTTGTTCTGCCTAAACTTTGATGGCAAGTCTAGAATTCTCAAGATCCTGCATACAACTTTGCAATCTTTGTTTTTGAGCAAATGTCTGAAATTTGAAAAATTAAAGCCAGGAAAAGGATTTTTCTCCTGTAGAGTTTTTCGCATTATTCCTCACTTTATATTATAGATTCCACAGTTACTGCCTTAGCATTCTTTTGCGTGTTGGTTGTTAGTATCACATTACTTCTAGCCTTTCAATCACATTTTCATTCAGTATCCATTTGAAGTCCATGGTTACTCTGTTCTGGTGATACAGCTGCTCATGACCTATATTCTAGAGTAGACAGTGTAATAAATAGTCCTTACTGATTTAAAGCTGTGTGTGTGTGTGTGTGTGTGTGTGTGTGTGTGTGTATGTGTGTTTGGGAGAAAGATGTTTGATAGGTGACTTTGAGTGGAACCACACTTAAATCAAAAGAATGAGTCATTTTGAGAAAAAAAAAAAGGAAGCGTGAGGAAGCCTGTAGGGTAATAAATGAATGTTAAAAAATAAAATATAAAAAGATTTCTAATTGGAACCTGCTTTCCATTAATTATTTGAACTTAGAATTATCCAGTCGGCTCTGCTTGAGAATCTTTCATATGAAAAGCAGTTTGTAGTGTTTCACAGGAACAGTTACAATCCTGTGTACCACTTACTGAATACCTAGCAGGTTAAAGATGCTTTCCATGTGATCCGACCCTGTTAGATAGGTGTTAGGCCTACAGAAAGGAGGAGGAATTCAGAGAAGTTCCCATGGCCAAGGGCGAGGCTTACATCGAAAGCCATTTCTTTCTGGCTCTGGCCTATCTTCAGTCTTTCGAGATATTGTTTACTCTTTTGCTGGTTCTGTGTGGTCATCACCACAGAACTTCCCCCCACCCCCACTCCTCAGAGAATACATAAAGCACACCCCTCAGAGACTCTGCATGGATAAAAATTGTCTTTGGTAAAAAAGAAAACAAACACATTTAGAATAACTCTTTCTCTTGGCCTCCACAGGCTAGTTTTCAAATATGGGCACATTAATAGCTACGTGGTTAACAATACATTTATTTTCAGCAAGGGCTTGCAAACCAGTTGTGATTGCCTGACACTGTTTATTTCCCATCATAGATTAGAATGATCATCTGCAGTGTATTTTGTTAACCTTATTTTGCCAAATCCGGGGGAAAGAAATCATCATGTTTATTTGAGGAAAGATGACTTTAAATTCTTCTACAACGTGATCAGTGTTTCAAGAACTTCCACAGATCATCTGGGAAAGCAAGTTATAGGTTATTTGCTTTTCTTCTGGCTTTACGTGTTAAATACAGTATAATGCTTCTTCCTTACAGTAATCGTCAAATCTAAAAAAGTTCAGGGAAGGGACAGAGCAAATTTTACTAGAGTCTGAGGTAAGAAGAATTAGAGTCAAGAGTTTGATATGTTCTGGAAAAAAAGAAAAGCACTTTTTAACCAAAGTACAGGAAGGAAGGGTATCTCATGTTTTGTGTGTTCACAAGTTGTAAGAAAACTAGCTGTTCAGTGGAAATGTGGGTAAATTTCTCACAGCAGAGCTTTTCAGACTTGTGACCTCAGTGGGGCTTCAGAAGACTTCATTTCTCTAATCTTTTGGAGCACAATGACTCACTTTGATGTAATTTTTGAGAAAATAATTGAAAAGCTAAGTGCTTTGTTTTTTGCTTATCCCAAAGTTGTCAAATATGCGATATTGGTGGATTTCACTAATTGATAACTGGTTGTGAAAATGCATTTTTTGTCGCATGGCAGGCATCGAGAAGCCAAGTTTGAATGAAGCATATTGAGAATTATTCTGTCATGTGGCTAAAGGAACACCACCTTTGTGGTGTCAGAAACGTGGGTACTCTATTTTTTTGAAATGAGCTTTTCTTCATCACTTTCTACTTTGTAGTGTTTTTATATCTTAGTTGCATGTACAAATAGTATTAAAAATCTTAGTTTGAACTGAAGAAATCAAACTTGGGTATAATTTGTGTGTACTGATCATACAGTATATTTATGGATGTATACAACTTAAGTATAGTAAATACTACATAACAACTATATCCAACCCTTCAGTTTACAAGGTTATTGGTACTTTGTATCTATTTCCTTACAGAATATGGGCAATAAAAAAGTTAATACCTTTCTGGAATAAAGAATGCTATTCTTCAGTGTCAGAAGTCTCTTCCCTCCCTTTCTCTTCCCCCCTTCTCTCTATCTCTATCTCTTTACCTATTCACCTTACATGAAATGATTATTTTAAAAGCAGATTTTTAAGAGATCTGGGATGACCTCTTGATACCTAATTTTTTGACATTTTTATTTTTTATTTTGTAAAAAAATTTTTTTAACATCTATTTATTGTTGAGAGACAGAGAGCATCAGCAGGCGAAGGGCAGAGAGAGAAGGAGACATAGACTTGGAAGCAGGCTCCAGGCTCTGAGCTGTCAGCACAGAGCCTGACATTGGGGCTCGAACCCATAAATCGCGACATCATGACCTGAGCCAAAATTAGACCCTTAACTGACTGAGCCACCCAGGTGCCCCTGACATTTTTAAAAGGCATTACCTACTTAATTGAGGCTGCACCCTTGTATCAGCTTTTTGATGTTTAACACATTACTACATACTTAGAGGTTTAAAACACATTTATTAGCTCAAAATTTGTGTGGGTCAGGTGTCTGGGCAAATATTAGCTGGGTTTGCTCATGGACTCATGAGGCTGCAATCAAGGTGTCATCTGGGATGACTTCTTACCTGGAGTTCTGACTGGGAAAAGAAACACTACTAAGCTCCCTCAGGTTGCTGTCAGAATCATTTCTTTGTGCCATAGATAGGATTCATGGAAGCTCGCTCACCAAAAGCCAGCAATGGAAAGAGAGACCGCAAGCAAGGCAGCCTTAAATAATGCAATGTAACCATACAGGTGACATCATCTTTGCCACATCTCAGGACATGCTGCACAAGTTACATCTGACCAACTGTGCCATATTATGTTAGACGTAAGTCATGGGATCCATCCAAGCTCAAAGAGCAGGGATTGCGCAAGGCGTGAATATCAGGAGGTGGGGATCAAGGAGGTGCCTTAGGATTTGTTCACAACATCATTCAAGGAGTTCACAAACTTGATAATACAGTGAGTCTTTTCTAAAGTTCTTTGAGTAAATATAAATGGAGAATGTTAACAATTTTTAATACAGAAGTAGTAAGATTAAAGAGTTCTGAAATTAAAGAACCTGGCCAAGATTGTATAACTAAGCAAAAAAGCTGAAGAGGAAACTGAATTCAGGTCCATTACTGACCTCCCAACATTGTTCCTCAGGTGCATGAAATATTAGGAAACTTCAAAGAATATTAAAGTGTGAACTAGCTACTTCTTTAAAATTCTTCTCAGGGAATTTGAGTGTATTGAAGTGAATTCAGTGATTGACACGATGAAATTTGTCACTTCTATGTGGGTACATCTTTATGAGCACAGGTCAGGAATGCACAGAAACACAAAATAAAATTCTCATAATCAAAACTACAAAGCACAGAAGGAAATGATTAACCATGAGCAAAAGTCAGGAGATGCCACAAATAGCAGAATCATCAGAATTTGAGAAAATAAAGCAGTTTGAAAGAAAATAAGACTTATATTTCTTAGGAATAGAAGAGAAGTCCCTTATTAAAGAATATATGCAAATATCATAATGGTGAGAAACTGTCTATTTCCTCACTAAGATCAAGTACAAACTCAGGATGTCCTGTCATCACTTTTATTCACCATTGTGTTAAAAGTTTTAGCTAGTGTACTAAGACAAGAAAGGAAACAAAAAGTATATACAAACTGAGAACAAGAAATTAAACTTTGCAGATGACATGATTATGTAGCAATTCAGGAAGAATCAACAACAACAAAAATCCTGGAAGTAATAAGTGAGTACAGAAAGTTCACAGAATACAAATTACTACACAAAAGCCAGTTGATTTCTTATATACAAGCACTGAACAACTGGGGTTTGAAATGAAAACAAAAACAAAAACATGACAGCAAAGCTTATAATAATACCCCAAAATGAAATACTTAAGTATAAACCTGAAAAAATATGTACTGTTACTATATGTGAAAAATTCAGTCTGAGAAAATCTAAATAAATAGAGAGTCTGTGTTCAAGGACTGGAAGACTTCGCCGTGTTAAGATGTGACTTCTTCTGGGGCGCCTGGGTGGCGCAGTCGGTTAAGCGTCCGACTTCAGCCAGGTCACGATCTCGCGCTCCGTGAGTTCGAGCCCCGCGTCGGGCTCTGGGCTGATGGCTCAGAGCCTGGAGCCTGTTTCCGATTCTGTGTCTCCCTCTCTCTCTGCCCTTCCCCCATTCATGCTCTGTCTCTCTCTGTCCCAAAAATAAATAAAAACGTTGAAAAAAAAAAAATTTAAAAAAAAAAAAAAAAAAAAAAAAAAAAAAAAAAAAAAAAGATGTGACTTCTTCCTAACTTAATCTATACATCTAGTGAAATCCTCATCGAGATTTCAGTAAGCTATTTCGTAGACCCTGACAAACTGATTGTAAAATTTCTATGGAGAGGCAAAAAACCTAGAATAGCCAAAGTGAAGAAGGAGAAGAATGAAGAGAAGGAGGAGGAGGAGGGGAA